CACCATTGGGAATATGAAAGTTAATCTGTTAATACTATAATAGCACCTGCGGGTTGGAATATCTTTCTTTTTTTGTATTTAAAAAATTATATTTCAATTTGTTTAAAAAAACTTCAATAAATTTTTTGTTTTGTTATGCATGTGAACTTGCTAAAGATAAATGAAATTCCTATCATTTGAGTAATAATAGAAGTTCTATTTCTTTTATAGCTATTCACTCTTATGCATAAGGATCTACTCATAATACTTCTTTATCTGTTCATAGATAGTTTGTTACTTTTATTTACTGTTATACTAAATTAACATGGATTTACCTATTGAAAGCAAAAAGTAATGTGTTTTTATACTTTCATTGATTTCATAAAATGATATGTACAAAATTCAAATGCTCAACTTAAGATTCTAAAAACTGACAACGGTACATAATATATCGATTGTGGGTTCTGTGCCTACTTGAAGTCTAAGGAAAAATCCAACAAATAAGTCGTGTTTACACTAGTGAACAAAATGAGATCGCTGAAAGAAAAAATGGATATATATTAGAGGTACTTCAATCACTGATGTTCACTATAAATCCACCAAAAAGTTACTGGGGATGCAGTTCTCTCAACTGTTTATTTTATCAACATAATATTTTTGTCAATTCTTGATTTTAAAAGTCATCTAGAGATTTTGTAAGGACAAATGTCTTATATTGTTCTCTTAAAAGTGTTTGAATGTGTTTATTTTATCCATACTAGAAATGTGGGTAAACTAAGACCTAGAATCTCAAGTGTGTATTTGTTAAATATTCCCCTACTCAAAATGACTATAATTGTTATCATCCACTGTATAAAAAGTATTTTGTGAATATGAATGTTACCTTTAGAGAGTCAGAAAACTTCAGTCCCAACACCTCTTCAGGGGAAGAGTGAGAAGAGATTATTCCCAACTTGGTAACCCTTAACAATCATATTTAATGGAAGAATTCTACTTCGGAAGATCATATTCAATGAGGAAATGTCAAACATTTGCATAAACCAAACTTGAAGAGGTATGCAAGGAGAGATAAAACAGAAAAAACTATCTTACAGTCAGCATTAGACCAAGTATCTTTTTCAATTCTTGAAAATACTAGTGAGTTACTTTTATCTTGTGATTTGTTTGATAAACCCATTATACTTAAAAAATGAATCAAGACGTGTACTAAACATCCTATATCTAACTTTGTTTCCTATTACTCTCTATCTTACTCTTATAGAGCTTTTATCTTGTGTGTTTTCTCTGTGTCTTTTCCACGGGATTGGAGAGCAGCTCTAGGAAATTCCAAATAAAAGTAAACCATGATTGAAAGAATGAAATGTTTGCCAACAAATGAAACATGAAAACTTATTTTACCTCCACAGGGAAAGAAGATGGTTGGTTGTAAATGAGTGCTCACTGTGAAACACAAAGTATATAGGTCGATTGAAAGATATAAAACAAGATTGGTGGGTAAAAGGTTTACTCAAACCTATGGAGCTGACTATCATGATACATTTGCACCTACCGTAAAGATGAATACAATCAGAATATTATTGTATTGCGCAACTAACCTTGATTTGGACTTACAACAGTTTGATGTTAAAAATACCTTCCTCCATGGAGACTTAGAGGAAGAAGTATACATGAAAATTTTTCCTAAATTTGAAGATGAAAAAACACAAGAGAAGGTTTGCAAATTAAAGATAGTTTTATATGGATTGAAGCAGTCTCCAAAACATGGTTTGAAAGATTTAGAAGAGTTATAATCTCTTTTAAATATCAACAAAGCAATGTCGATTATATTCTCTTTACCAAACATTATGAGAGTAGGATCACTCTTCTTATCGTCTATATAGATGATATGGTGGTGAGTATAGATAATACAAAGGAGATAGCACGATTGAAAGAACTTCTTATTCAAGAGTTTGAAATAAAGGATTTAGGAAAATTGCAGTATTTATTGGGAATTAAAGTTTTCAAATCTAACAAAGGAACTTTCATTTCTCAAAAGAAATACATCTTAAACTTATTAGAAGAGACTGGTATGATGGATTGCAAGCCGATAAAATCTTCCATTGAAAGTAATTACAAACTACAAGCAGGTAGTGGTACATCAGTTGATTTGAAAAGATATCAGAGATTGGTTGCAAAACTCATTTACCTTTCACATACCAAACCTGATATAGCGTATGCTATTAGCCTAGTGAGTCAGTACATGCATGATTCTCGTGTGTAATTTACATGTCGTTTTTCGCATATTACGATATCTAAAATCTGCACCAGAAAAATATGTGTTCTTCTCCAAAAATGATTACATTAAGATAGAAACATTTATAAATACCGATTAGACTAGATCTCCAGATGATAGAAGGTCAACCACTGGTTACTGCACACTCATAGGAGGCAAATTGGTTATATGGAAAAGTAAGAAGCAAAGTGTAGTTAGTCATTCCAATGTTGAAACAGAATATATAGCAATGGCCCAAGAAATATGTGAATTATTATGATTACAAAAGTTAAAGAAATAATTAAAATTGTTCAAAGGAAAAAAACCTATCTTTATTCTGTGACAATAAAGCAACTATTAGCATTACTCATAATCCAGTTCAACATGATCGGTCATTGAGAGTTACTGACACTTTATAAAAGAGAAAGTGGTTGATGGCTTTTTATGCTTATATCATGTGCCTTCAAGTAAACAGGTAATAGATGTCTTCACTAAAGGATTTTGCAATAAATCTCTTTATAACTTGGTCTGCAAGTTGGGTATGGGTTATATGTTTGTACCAAATTGAGGGGGAGTGTTAACTAGAATATTATGTTGCCCAATTAATTAAGATATTTTTTCCTATGTGATTTCTATCGTAATGATGTAATAATTAGAATCCTTGCTATAATGTTAATTTCCTTATTTGTAAACAAGAATTCTATATATATACCCAAATGTAATAAAAAAAGTTATATTAGAAAATAAAATTAATATTTTCTTCAAAATCTTCAATAAATTTTAAGAATTTCCAGTTGAAAATATATCAATTTATAAAGCATTCTCGTAATTTTTATCAAACTCAAGCTCATAAATATTAAGTCTATTTTCACCAATTAATAGTGATATATGGAGACTCTCCAATGTAAAAAAATATTATGGGAGAAAGGTGGTTTATTCTATTTATTGATGACTATACTAAAATCACATAAGTGTATCTTATGAAAGAAAAATCTAAAGTTAAAGAGATATTTTAAAAGTTCAATACAATTATCCAAACCCAATTTTATATAAAAATTCAAATATTTAGAATTGATAATACCAATGAGTACTTTGGAAAAACTTCAAAAGACATTTAAAAAACGAAGGCCTTATATATTTAAAGTTCATGTGTTGATATATCCAACAAAATAAGGTCATAGAAAGAAAGAGATGTCACATCCTAGAAGTAACTAGATAATTCCTATCCTGTACTTACGTTCCAAACTTTGTTTGGGTAAGGAGGAAGTCACACTCACTGTCACTTACCTTATCAATAGAATGCCCTCTAAAGTATTAAACCTTCAAATATCAAGCCAAAAACTACTCATGATGTACCCTCTAAACCAAACAATTTCATCCATAACTCCAATAATAGTTGGGTATATAGCATTTATTCACATTCACACACAATACCGCAGTAAACTTGAGCATAAATCGATAAAATGTATCTTCTTTAACTACATTCCCAACCAAAAAGGATACAAATGCTATTTCCCAAGCAACAAACAACTCTATATCTCTATGGATGCGAAGAATCTTTCTACTCTAAACCTGGAATTCAGGAAGAGAAAAAGCAATAAGAATCCCAGATTTGGGATCAAATAGGAAGAAGCAATCAACTCTTTGGTCAAATGAGGGAAAACAATCAAGCTATCGAGTCACAACCTATCCCCAACAAGTTGCAAGACAGTGATGACAACCCCTACTCCCTGCAAGATAGTGGAGATAGTATTGCCAACAACTAGTAAGCCTATGGTTAGCCAAGAATGGAAAGTTCACAGCATACTCAATGAAGAAAACTCAAGAGGATATAAAACACATCACAAGAAATGACAAGAGTCCACTCTAAACGAGAGTTCTCATGCACAATCAAGTAACATTCTATTTGAGGAGAATATAAGTGAATCCATGATTGATGATCGTCCAATTTTCCTAAGAAAAGGGTAAGGTCAATGCACTAATCACCCCTTATATGATTTTGTTTCATATAAAGGGTTGTCCGAACAATTTCAAGCATTTCTTACAAACTTAGATAATGATTCCCAATACAATCTAGGAGGCAATGAGTATCCCAAAATGAAAGGCAGTTGTCTTATAAGAAAAGAAGGCTCTAAAGAAAATAACACTTGAGAACTTATAGGCCTACCTAAACAAACAGCGGGATGCAAGTGGATCTTCAATGTAAATACAAAAGTGATGGAAGTATTAAGAGGTTTAAAGCTTGATTAGTAGTCAAGGGATTCACTCAATCTTATGGCATTGATTACTAGAAGATGTTTTCCCCTCTAGCCAAATTAAATACAATTCGTGTGTTATCCTTGACTGTTAATCTTTAATTGACCTCTTCATCAACATGATGGGAAAAATATCTTCCTTAATGGGGAACTCATAAAAAATGTGTACATGGATATTTCATCGAGCTTTGAGACATAAGTAAACAGAAGTAAAGTATGCAAACTACGAAAATCACTCTATGGATTAAAATAATCCCAAGAGCATGGTTTGATAGATTCAACAAAAAAAATAAAAAAAATTGGCTACATATGGAGCTAAACAAACTATACCCTTTTGTGAAGCATTTTGATAATAGGAAATTGGTAGTATTGCTAGTGCATAAGGACAAGATAATCCTAACCAGGGGCGATGAGGTTGAACTTAAAAAGCTCAAATGCTTCTTAATCAAGGAATTTAAAACAAAAGATTTGGGAAGCTTGAAATACTTCCTTGGAAGGAAGTGGCCAGGTTTATGAAGGAAATCACAGCCTCACAAAGAAAATATATCATTGACTTGCTTAAAGAGAGAAGATAACGTGATAATAACTGAGGAAAAGATCTATAATAAACAGAAGGTTTCTGTGACCACTGAAGGACGGAAAAGACTAAACGGTAACAAGCTTCCTGGACATATTCGCAAGTGTTCTCGGACAGATAATGACCAAACTGAAACCACCCAGGTAAAAGTCCAAGACAGCAAATCTGAATTAATTACACCTGGATCTCGGCCAAAAGAGAGACGGAATCAGAAAAGATGGGAAACTAGGAAGTTATTAGGCCTTACGGCTAAGGAAAGACGCGGCTCACGAATCCCGGCCCAAGAAGAACCCCAAAATGTGATATGGGTATGCATACTCGTGGCCTACATGTGTGTGGGCCTTTCCATATGCGCAACGTGGCCTCTACACGAGCGAACACCTAACCCGCATGGTCACGCACGTAAGATGTGAGAACAGCAGCACCCGCATGCCCCACAGCACACTCACAAGCACACAAGGAGCTACCCGCACACACAACCAGCATGCATGTGCGAACAGGCAATCCCGCATGACCAGCGCATGCTGGCATGCGCGCAAGACACATGCAGCATGCGTGCAGCGACGCACAAGTGCGCAGGAGGCCAGGCGCAAGCCCAGCGCACGCGACCCAGCCTCGTGCGACAGGTATGCACCTCACACACGCGCCGCCCTCGCGGCCTGCATGCTGCACGCGTGCCTAGCAGGCTGCCCACGCGACTTTGGCCTTCCTAAGTCCTTTAGGACTTTTTTTCTTACTTTTTCTAAGTCTACAAGGTTTCCTAAGCCTCTACAATTATCCCATGTGATTAATGCCAAATAGAGGAGGATTTCTACTCAAAATTGAAGTCCAAAGAAGATAAAAACCCTTGAAGATTTGAATAGGGAGAAAATATTATTTTAATAATTATCTTAATTATTTAGATTTGTTTAATTAAGTTTAGAATAAGATTTGATTATTTTAATATTTATGTATTTGTTTTCTAATTAACTTAAGTTCTAGAGTTTGGATAGGAATTATAAATCCTATTCTGATTAGAAATAGCCAATAAAAGCCTATGTAAAGGCTTAAGTTCAAGTTTTGTAATCGTACCTTTGAGAATTAATAAATTAGAAGATTTGAGCTTTTTTTAAGAATTAGTTATGTGCTAATTTAGCGTTTTCAAGTTTTTCGAAGTTAGGGGAATTTTCTGAAGTCTTATTAAGCCCAAGGAGTTAGAATCGACTTATCAGATAAATCCGTTGGGTCTTTCTTTTTCTCATTTTATTTTCCTAATTCTTATTTCTGCATATCATTTAAGTAAAGGAAGAGTTAATTAAGCGGTTAAGTTTCTGTATTGCATGCGTTGGGTTGTGATTCTGGGAGTCAAAATGATCTTTCTCATATCCTCCCGCATCACAAGAACCCTAGGTTGTAAACGAACAAAGACACATATAGAGAAAAATATAAAATTTAGAACACAAGGCGAAAGCTCCCTGGTGCACAAGGGGCAATATCAAAGATTAGTGGAGAAGTTGATCTACCTCTTACACACAAGACCTGATATAGGGTCTGCTATTAGCATAGTGAATCATCTTACTAACTAACATTTGGGAGTTGTTAACCAAATCCTGTGATACCTAAAGTCATCTTTAGGTAAGAGATTATACTTCAAGAATAACTCATGGAGGGACGTGAAAACATTCACCAATGTTTATTGCGCACGGTTAGTAACTGATGGGAGATCAATATCTGGGTACTGCTCATATGCATGAAGAAACTGAGTGACACAACGAAGTAAGAAATAGTCTATGGCTTAATAGAAGCGGATTTTAGGGTTATGACTCGTAGAATTTGTGAAGATATTTGGCTTGATTATATCCTAAAAGAATTAAGGGTTGAAAATTCAACTCCAATAAAACTACTTTATGATAAACTATCAGTAATAAGTATTGGAAAAAATCTGGTTTATCATGATTGCATGAAACATATCTCTTGATTGTCCCATCTAACTTTAATTTGATTTTAGAGACCCATTTGCATCCCACCGGTATCTTACCTTTAGGTAGATCCACCATTTTCTGTGTTTGGTATTTCTCAAGTGCTTGCATTTTCATATTCATAGTATTCTTCCATTTTTCACAAGATAATGTCTCAGATGCTATACAGGACGGTAAATACTTATCAAATGGCGCAAATTATGAGAAAGGATAAAAAGTATGTTTAGTGCAATTTCTTATACCTTTATAAAGTGCAATAAGTATGTCATTATTAAACTTTATAGATTTTTCAAGAGTTATCTCAATTCCTAGATCAAAGTTGGATTCTTGCACCAGTTTATACTCAATACTTATTATCCTCCTCCTTGTAAACATGCACTCAGGTTACAAAATTGGGATATGATATGACTAATATTATATTTGATTTTAAGTAAAAACATTCAGATGATTCTAGTCAATCATCAATAAATGAGACAGATACATCAAGTTCCAGAAATATTAGGTATATCAATTGGTTTTAAAATATCATTATGGATCAATGAAAATGGAACTAAATTTCGTTTATTACTAATAAGAAGTGTCACACGTTTATATTTTGCAAACTCACAGATGTCGTATTGTAAATTTTTATAATCAAATTCTTATATAATAAAAAAAACATAATCCTTAAGATGGGAAATAATGGGTGTCTAAGTCCTTTATGATAGAGTAAAATCTTCTTCGTGGGGTCAATAGTAATAGCAGAGAATGATTTCCTGGGTGCATCCATGTAATAGAATCTGTTTCTGCTTAAACACATCCAACCATCTTCCACAAATCCCAATTCTCAAAGCCATAGTGAGAAGAGTTAAATATTATTTTGCATTTCAAGTCTTATGATTACTTATTGATTGACACAAGATTAGCACACAACTTGGGAGCATATATTAAATTTTTTGGGGTAAGAATAGGACTAAACAACTTGGGAGCATATACTATATTTTTTGGGGTAAGAACAGGACTAAATTTAAAATTGCCCTTCCCTGCAACAGTATTAGGGGAACTATTTATTGTGAGAATTTTTTATTACTTGAATATAAAGCATATGCATGAAAATGTTTAAAAGTAGTAGTTATACGATCTGCTGCTCCAAAATTCACAATCCAATAATTTTCAAAATGTTTATCTGAGATATTTAAATTGTGTGACAAGAAAAGCATACCTGAGAATGCTAATAAATTAGTATCTGTTTGTTTTTTGAAAGACTCAAGTCGAATACTCAGTCTTTCA